TGAACGTGAATTTCAAGTGTTATGCCTGATTATATATGTAGAAAATTTCAGTACAATTTATGAACAAGTGAAGGCTCAATCATTAGTTGATGAATAATTAAAAATTAAGAAATGTTATATAATCATGGAGCCTTTGTTCTCTTTAACTTCTGATTTTTCTCTGTGATCCATTTATCTTTATGTGAATATTACTGTAACGATTCCGCGAATGAATAGAAGGAAAATATTTTGTACACGTTCTTTCTAAAACCTACAATGTATAACTTCCACACCCTCAGGTAAATGAAATGTTTTAGATATCTATTTTTGTCATATGTAACTGGTGTAGATCTTTGTTTTTATTTTGTTCATTTTTGGATAGAAGGGACTCATTTTTTGTGATAAATTTTCTTTCATAACTGAATGTTAATACGGCAATGTTAAGAGAATCTGAATTGAATTGTTAACACGGCGATAAGAAAGGAGTTGGATATCTCACGAGACCAATAGATTTTACTAGTTTCCATTGGAGATTGTGTGCCCATTATAGGGTTCAATAGGATTGAATAAAGTGGGTACCTTAGCCATCTAAATCACCGTTATTGAAATCAAATTTTTACTAGGTGTTAGTTCCCGTTATTGTACGGCTATGTATTGAAGTTATAGTTTGATAATTAATAGAAAATTGGAAGTCTGTGCTTAATTGTATCTTCTCTGCCCATTTTGCGTTAGATCGAACAAGAGTGGAAATAATTGGGGTGTAGTATTCTAACATCAGCCAAATTAAACTCCCATTTTTTATAAGAAACATTTTTGTGTTCTAGTTCATGAAGTGAAAGGTATTTTCACTTCGATTCATGGTTTTTTATTTCACTTACCTACGTATGTAATATATAGTCAGGGTAAGTATTGCGAACGTGAAAATTTTCGAATCTGAGTTTTCAATGGAAATACATGTTTTGAGGTCTTCTAAGTCCAAATAAACAAGACTCGCAAAATGGTGTGTGTGTGTTTTACACTTTATATCAACGGTGAAATACATTTTTCTCAAAACTTTCTCGTATATCGTTGGAAAGCGGAGAACTTTAGACAAAAAAATATCAAATAAATAAAGTTGTAGAAGGTAATGGAGAGTGACGATAAAAATATAAATAATAATTTTAGAAAACTAACATTACTTAACGTAAATCACATGTTTTCAAATAAATTAAATGAAATTTTCCTACTAAATGTAAACTTTAAAAAAAATTTTAAGTGTGAAAAAAGTATTTAAAATCCTTAAATAAAAAGTACTTGTGTGGAAAAAGAAGTGAAATATAAAAATATTTCATGGATATATTTATAACCTTAAATACATTTGCTGTAGTTTAATAACTCCAGGTATGATATTGTATTTAAATAATTTGGTATCTATTGGCCGTTTATTCCAAAAAATCACCATGTAACCTTTTAGATAATTAAATTAGTGAATGATTTGATGAATTTTCCCTTCACCAGAATTTTTATTCGCACCAGATTTTTTCCATTACCATGTATGGAATGGTTTCTTAGAATTATCAAAAAACCATACAAAAAAAAAAACAAAGATAATATCAATTGTACATTCATAACATAGAATTTTCAGTAGGGAGCTGTGAAAAATTGATTTGAGAATTTTAAGATTGAATTACTGAAAAGCGCTTGATGATTGATTAATTAGTTAAATTAATGCAATAAAATAATCATGTTTTCTATTTATTGTTACAAAATCTACGAAAAGCAGAGATATATTTGTCAGTAACCACAATAATGTTTTGGTGATAATTGTATCGTTATTTTTTTATGATATTAAACAGTTAGTATTGTTTACAATAGAATATATTGAGACACATGTAATTATTTGAATAATTTTCTAAACTAAAACTATTTAAAAAATTTTATGAAATTGCAAAACTTTTTCTTAACATTAACGTTCCTATACATTTATTGACAAATAAATGTAAAAATTGAGCAAAACAGTAATTGTATTGAGCGATAACCTCATTTATACTATACTGCCAAGAATCGAATATAGGTCGAACTAAATTATTCCTCAATAGCTATCGATTATTTTTGGTATGTTTTTAGGGCTCTTTCGTCTATCAACGTCATATTCCTTATCAGGAAAACATCTCATACTGCCGTTTGACGTAATGTGGTCACTAATCTTATATAATCTCCAGGTTTGTTCTACATTGAACTAGATCCGACCGAAGTTGATTTAGCAGAGTGGGCAATGAAAAATGTGCGGGGCACCTTCGTGACGTCATAAGATTGCAATGGACTCTTTCCCATTGACCTATTTTCCTTCATCCATCAACCTCTCCGCTAGTATTAAATTTTTATTAAAGATTTCCTCATAGGTATTGTGAATACCAACTGTAATAATTAATTAGGTTTTAAATTATTTACTTATTTCATTCATGAAATTTACAACTGTATTAAATAAAAATACTTCAAGTAAATTTGATGATAGAAATATGCTATATGGAATAGCCGTTTAGATCCGTGATACTGGCCTATTTTTATAAAATTATTAACATCCTCCTAAAATTTCGAGAATGGTTTCATCTTATGGTAACCCGCAAAATTTATATCTACGAAAATTCTCAAAAACCAGACGTTATAAAATTATTTTATTTAATGAAGTATTAAGAAACTCATAAATACCCCTTTGCTTTACACTTGAATCGTAAGATAATTTGAACAAAAAATAAAAAAAGTTGGCCTACAAAAATATTGGGCCTATTTGATTATATTACTTCGTTATTTTGACATGATGTCACGGGTAAGGTCATTTTTGTAAGCTACATTTTTTCTCGATTTCGTGATCAAATTATCTTCGGATTCAAGTGGAAAGCAAATGGGGGTCTATGTCTTTTAGTGCCTAAAAGATATCCAGATTCTGTGAACTTCCATAAATTTAAAAGTTTTAATTTGCGATGAGATGCAACTATTCAAGAAGTTTTAGGCGGATGTTAATAATTTAATAAAAATGGGTCTATAACACAAATTATGCAGAGAAACTAGCCATTGGTTTTAAATTATTTCATATTGTGTAAGATATATTATAAAATATGTTCCAAATGAAATTTCCATAGAGTACAGTGTATTATAGTATTTATTATAATATTATTATAAACCAATTCAACAATTATATAATAGTATAGCACTACAGAAAAAAAAATCTGCTAGTTAGTATTGTTTCCTCATCATTTTTACATAATGATTTTTTGCAATAAACCGATAACCGAGTCAGATGGACAGTCAAAAAAAGAATATAATTTGTTCACCGAGTTGTAAAATGTAAAACACGGGTACAATTTTTCAATTGTGAGTTCAACAATTTTCTTTTTAATATACACATAAATATAAGCTTCTGTAATAAGGAAGACCATAACAAAAAACAATTAAATTTATTAATATGAATGTAAAATAGTCTAATTTTCATCAATGGGATAGTGAAAATTTTGTAACTTAAAACCAAAGTCCTCTTAATATATATTTTGTTTCTTTATTTTAAGGTTTTCCTAGTCGAGGTCTATATTTTTATCATCTGCAAAATGATTTTAAGGTGCAATATTTGACAAAAGAACACAAATCACAGAAATTTATTATCTTGGAAATAGACTGTATTATTTCAATGGCAAACAATAAATGCAAGACAATGGCTATAGTTAATGGTTTATTCATTGATATGTCTGGACTACATCCGACCTAGATATGTAAGCATTCAGTCACCTATTGTGGCCAGTAACCCTAATTTTAATATGTGTATATATATATATATATACCTTTTATATATTAGTTATTACTTTAAAAGTTAACAATTTAGGCAAAATAATATAAATAAATATGTATGTTTCCTATTTGTTTAATTGTGATCTCAAAAAAAAAAAAAAAAAAAAAAAAGACAGTACCAGAATCCATTTTCATACCCCATTATTACATAGAATATATAAATTACCGTGATATGACGTAAAACAACGGAAAGTAATAAAATTATAAAAGGTGACATCCCGAAATCCCTTATCACCTGAAATAAAACAATATCGCACAGACACGTATGTTGACTGATAATTTAAAAGTAAATTCAGGATTTTTTTATAAAACCAACTTTCTTCTGGGTCAATGCCCCTCAAGAATTATGGCTATGTACGGAACATTTAAGATTATTTCTGGCCAATAGACTAGAATATTTATAAAAAATGTCGTTGAAAGAAATGAACGGAATATATTCGCTCCCAAAAAAATGAAATATATAAGTTTCTTCCAATAGTTTGGCATAATACTCCTAATAAAAAAACAAAAAAACAAATAAATTATATATGTAATTTGTTTGACAACATCGTGAAACCACGAGAAAAAAAATCTCAATTAAAAAAGAGTACAAGGAAAAAACAAAAATGGATATATATGTATATATTGTAACATGTATGATAAAATTGTTTGAGGATGAAACAAATATCTTAATCAAAACAGAGTACAGGGAGAAAGCAGAAATGGATATATATTGTGTTTCAGGGTTACGTGGCAAATCTGAAAATATGGATTAAGGATCTGAAAACAAGGAAAAAATTCCTATGAAGGTATGCCCGCTAACGCTTTGTTTAGGAGATATCCACACCTAAAGATTTTCCTTGTTGTGAATTATTTACGTTAAATTAAGTAAATAAAACTTATTTATTTGTTCTAACTACTTTATTAATTAAACGTAAACACACACACACACACACATATATATATATATATATATATATATATAATATATATATATATATATATATATATATATATATATATATATTATATATATATATATATATATATATATATATATATATATATATATATGTACCTGTGTATATTTGTATTTATATATTCTAATTTATATTATAAAATCGTTAGTATTCTAAAATCGACGAATCTCTTCTAGAAATATCTCTTAAATTTAAAATTATGTTAGAAATAAATAATTCCAATAAATATTTCTGTAATTTAAGGAATTTGGCAGAAACATGAGCGCTAAATGGACCATGGAATTTGTTCAGATAATATTTTTACTGGTTGCTCTTATCTTTCTTCAGATAAGGCTGATTCATAAGATAGCCGAGCAAATGGTTCTGTGGTAATGTACCGTAAAATCCAATCTAGTTGTCCCACATGATTTATAAATAAATATTTCTTCGAATTCTCTATTGTTGTTTCAAGTTTCTTTTTTTTCCTCGACAGAATTTCTTTTTTCAACCTGAAATACTGAAAATATGAATTAAATTCATAGGTATATTTCCCCAGTACTATACTTAGTGGAATATATTGTCAGGTAAATATAGATTAAAGTAAAACCCTAAAAATATATACATATGTTAATGATATAGTATATTTGCGAACAGAGGATCAATATCGATATTAAAAATGATCTCATTGGTTTGAACAAAGGGGAACATCAGTTAATTGTTAAAAAAAAATTATCTCATAAATCACCTTATTATCTCTTACAAAATAGATTACATAATATTAGGAAATTGCCTATCGTCGATAACTGTTGTCAGATGTAAAATTATCAAAAATTATCTGAAATCTGAGCCAAATCGAGGTTAAGGAGAAAAATAAATAAATATGAAAAATTTCTCTTTAATACAATTGTAACAAACTATTAATATTTTTAATTAAAATACATAACCACAAATTAAAAAACAAAATGCTTAGTGTGAGTTAGTTGAGTTGGAGAAGAAAATTTTATTTATATGTGGGTTTGCACACGTGTGCATGTGCTTCAGTACATAAATTATATAAGAAATGTTTAGACTTAAAATCAAAAAAAGAAGAACCAACTTATTCAAGTCATAAGCATTAATTAATATAAATTTATAACTTTTAATTATTTCTATTTCTATTAACTCTACATTTTCTTATTTTCTACTTTAACAACTGAAGTTCTTTAGACGAATATAATTATATCTATAAATAACACCTTGACACATCCAGTTTGTTGTACTATATTTATTACTTTGCTACTATACTTTATGTAAGTATTTCTGTATTTTAGAATTAGTTTATTATTAGTCTTGGTATTTTTATATTGTATATTGTTATTTTATTCTACTGTATTATTAAAATTAATTAAGTAATATTAGTAAAACCTTATTCTTATATTATTTCTTATTGTTTATCTATGTTTTTCATATGTATATATTATCTTAAATATGTCCTTATTTCGTACTGTATTAGCTATATCATATCATTATTCTTGGAATTCTGATCTTATTTTTATGGTTTTACCCTCCACATCTGAGTACTTAAAATTGTTTATAAAAAATGTGAACTATTGTAAATGCTATATATTATTTATTACATAATATACAATATAATATAGTATATGATAAGGAGTTAGTCGGGGTGCGGTCAAATAAATACTAAATTAAAATATAGTAATTATTTTATTTTAATTACTATATTTTACTATTAATTACTATATTTTAATTTAGTATTTATTTGACCGCACCCCCGACTAACTCCTTCTCATATTATATCAACGGTCAACCATCTCTACATCATTATAATATAGTATACTTTATGCTATTTATTAGTGTTGCCAAAATGCGAGACCGAGACGAGTCTTGGTCTTGCAAACTCAGTCTTGGTCATGGTCTTGGTCTTGCGCAACAGTCTCGCAATGGTCTTGCATATAATAACGAAGATCGTCAAGTATTAGTAACTATTCCGCCTTAATTTTTATTCAAGAAATCGATTTGTTTAACCAGCCCTGATCTTGGTCTTGCAACAATTAGGCGGCCATGGTCTTGGTCTTGCAAAGCGCAAGACCAAGACCGATTTTGGGCAACACTACTATTTATTAGGTTTATTAGGCAGCAACATATGGCCTGAAGGTTTGTAATCAAGTCGTATACGTATATATACTATTATTGACTAATAAATGTTGCCAAATCGTTATTATTAATATATTATTATTGAATGAAGACCATAAACTGTAAAAAAAAAAAAATCATCGCCAACCATAAAGATTTTACGCCTATACGTCAAAGTATAATCTTAAATGTGACACTGGTAAGCGATTAGAAAAATACTTTATGAAAGTGATGTTAGGGAATCATCGAGACCTTTATGAAAAACAAAAAAATTTTTTCAGAACTTTCTCATTAGACAAAAAATATTATTTTTTTAACTTAAACATATATCAGAAAAATGAACTTTGAAATCGAATCGGAGAAATGAAAATTATAGTAAAAAATCACTTAAGAATCCAATCTTGATATAATTTTGTATTTCTTTGAATTGATTTTTTTGATTATTTTTCTACTAATGTGTCCAAAATAATGCTATATGGTAGAAATGCCCTGTTTTTAAATAATCACTCTTACTTTATGGTTTACACCCATAAACATAAACTTTACAATAGAGATACCACTGAGTTGTGAGCAAACTTTACAGAAGAGACACACACTTTTTCATCTGAATTGCTGATAAGTAACGCTCATAAAAATTAAATGTCTGCAGTATGTTTGTTATTCATATTTTATTTCTTTGTCGTCTCGAATACGACAGGGTTTATTTTTTTTTCCGAATATTTCGTTTTCATAGAAAATTTAATTAGAGAAATAATTATTATTTTTTTAAATAACAAAAAAAAATCTTTTGATATGAATTTCTGGCGTCATTATCACCAAGGTCACTCACGACGATGTTCTCGCTCGTGGGGCGACTTCACTGTTGTACACATGCTCGAGTGGAATGTCAACACATTCTTTCGTTTTAAAACTCTCGTCCATTTAAATAGCTAATTTATAGGCAATAACCTTTTCGTCTCTTAATTTTTTCTTTTCGTTTATGTCTCTAATTTTTTTTATCCATAATAGTTATACCAAACGTTCAAATTAATTCAGGAAGTATAAATTAATTTTTGACATGTTTTTTAAAGACTGTAGGATCTCGTTACAGAATGATTTTTCAGATATGTATGTTTATGTAATTTTTCTTTAGCAGTTAATATAGAGAAAATTGAGGACTTGTACTTTTTGTAGGACTGTAGTGAATAATTGAAGGGAACATTGGTGGGGGAATCTCTCTTCTGACAAGCCCTGATGAATGCCTGAACATTATGCCGAGACGTTGGCAAAAAATAAAAATAAATACAATTTATTTATTTTTACAATTTTTTACTGAACACCACAACCAATCTTCTCTTCAGTTTATTTTGTTACTGTTTCCATATGATATAAAAATTAATGAAAATGAAAAATAACGTGAATCTTTATATAAGACATATTAGTTTATTCTGCAAATAATATGCTAATGCTGTTTTTGTGTTTGTAATAAGCTATTGTGATTATTCTGTATATGCAGATGAAACTACTTTCCTTCTATTATACAGTAGTGGATTTAATTGTGTTTCCCTCCCCTTTTTTATCATAGCAATTAAATACAATAAGAATAATGTTTTTTTTTTATATATATTTATTTATTTATATTTATATATCTATTTTATTACTGGCTTACATTTGTAAGTAAAATTTTTATGTTTTTAAAAAATAGTATATTGTGATTTTTTAAGTATTTGAGTCGGGTCACTTCGTATATAAACAAATATGGACCAATGAAAAAACAAAAAAAAAAAAATATTTTTTCTTTATTATTTTCTACGTAAACCTGAAAAGAGGAAGATAGAACTAAATTAAGTTTCATTTGTTTTGTTTTTTAAATAAGGTGTATTTCTTATTTTATTAAAACAAAGTAAGAAATATATTGGTATGGGGAATGTCAAAGAATTACTAAAATAGTTAAAAATGGCTCAAGTTATCATGACTTCGTCGTTAAATTTATATAACAACTGCAGATTTTTTCTCTTTTGGAGAGATTAAGCTAAAAATCTTCTCCTTAAATTCATTAGTCATTGTAAATACTGTTCACTATGAAAAGCTAAATGGTTGAAAAAGTTAGTTTTTTTTTTCTTGATGAAAGTTTTTTTTTTATATATGTATAAAAAAATGTACTTTTTTTGCCCTTATTTTTCACCAGATAGCCATAAAACAAATTCATTGTTTGAAAAAAATACATATTTGGCATTTGATGATATTTTTTTTCTTTATTAAATATCTTGTCGGGAAATATTTTTAATGCGATAAAAGGAAACAAAGTTCAAAATATTTAAAAGGAAAAATGAATAAAAATCATAAACATTTCATAATTTTATTTAACAATCATTACATCATCTTGTCTCGATTTTATCATTAAATTATTACAAGTAAAAAAAAAAAAAATCATATCGTTACATCGTTTCTTATCACAGCTTTTCTCGAGACAGGAGATGGTTGGTAGACATGGTTCAGCGACGGTGTGGTAAAAGGAACAATTGTTGTATACAAATAATGTTATCTTGGAATAGCTTACACTAATCAAGTATACTAAAAATTGTAATTATATAATTCAAATAACAAAAAAATCCTAATAAATAGTAACAATTAAAAATCTCACGTCTTATAAAATAAATAAGTTATCAATATAACACGAAATCATTCAACATTGGTAATCACAATACTGCTTTCACATCACATGATCGAATACAGTGAAATCTTCTTTCATAAATTAATACATTTAATTTCCAATTAAATGAGAATTAATTCTATGCTTAAATAATTAAGAAACGTCGCTTAAGTAAAGCACAATGGAATAAACTTGTTTGTACATCATCAGCACTAAATACAGTACTAAATACAAAATATTATACAAAGGAAAATAGTACATCGGTTAATGTAGTTGTATGGATTCTTGAATTTTAAGTACTCATGACAATAATTTTTCTATAAAAAATATATCTGAGTTTTAGACTTTAAGATATTTTTTATAATATATTATATGATATTTGGAAGAGAAATCGCCGCACGATTCAGAAATTGGCAAAGAGTTAAATGCGAACGCGGAAGACCTTGGACTCAAGACTTGCATCTGGTCTCATTGCCATTGCTACGCTAACTAACATCCTTCTTGTCGATACACCACCTTAACCTAATACTACACCAGTTTCTAGTTCGCGTCATTACGCAAGTAGAAGAATTATAATTCCGATTTAAATGCTAAGACTAAATATCAATGGCAACTAATTGTTATTCATGGC